AAAGTCTGTTAGTTATCACCAGATCTTTGTTCAGCCTTCAGCTCTCAGCTCAATAGCAAAGTTGACACTGTAAACCCAGGTGGAGCAGATTTAGATACACCATTATAGTCTTTTCCCACTCCAACGGTGGACAACCCAAACTGGTGGAAAAGAGAAAGAGACAAATAAAGGTGCCTATTTGATATGAGTACTTGGGATTACCAGGCGGGTTCCCAAGTGGCTGGTGCAGGACCACAATCGTCTTCCTTCCAGGTGTCTTTAGCTTTCAGGAAGCAATGTGCTTACAGAGACATTCCAATTTATCCAATTTTTCCTGGGTGGTACAACTGGGTTACTCTTCTTTGAGAAATTGGTGTGGATTAATCAAATGGCAACTCATGCTTCTGACAAAGACTTAAAATGTCCAGCCAAAATTAAAGTTGTGTCTCCTTTCACCATCCAATCAGAAGATGAGGCATCACTTTTGAAGTCTTGCAACTGGGTCTTACATTCCAGTATATTTGTGCAAAACATCTTATGCCAGTTTATGTAAGTCATAGCCATTTGTATGGCGATGGTGGTACATACATTGAACACCTGCTGGCTAATCCCCAGTTAGCAACCTACTTTCGCAAGTTGCTTTCCATGGCCCCCTCTTGAAGTGCATCCTCTGGCCAACTTTACATAGCGTGCTTGCTCAAGTAGTATTTTCTCCTCGGCACTTTGCTGACTGCTGAAATGTCTAGCTTAAAGTTCACAGTTTGAAAAAAAGCTTCTCCACTGCTTTTATGATCTTTAATTTGTTTTAACTGTCCAATACGCAGTTACACAATGTCATTTAAAAAATTGCTGTTCTTCAGCAGGCCAGAACAGCTGTATAAGTTTATCATTTCTGCTCTCCTTATTTTAACAATAATGTTAGGAACTCTGTATATATGGCTGACCTGTGTCTGTGCATTAGGGGTACGTCTACACTTACCGGAGGGTCCGTCGGCAGGCAATCAATGTTCTGGGATCGATTTATCGTGTCTGGTTTAGACGCGATAAATCGATACCGGATCGATCCCGGAAGTGCTCGCCGTCGACGCCGGTACTCCAGCTCGGCAAGAGGAGTACGCGGCATCGACGGGGGAGCCTTCCTGCCGCTTCTGGACCCGCGGTAAGTTCGGACTAAGGTACTTCGAATTCAGCTACGTTATTAACGTAGCTGAATTTGCGTACCTTAGTCCGAAGTGGGGGGTAGTTTGACTTCTATATTTTTTTGCATGGGACAGCTCCAGTCAGGCCAATGGGGCTGCACATGGGTGGGGGGCAAATTCCGTGCCTAACCGAGGTTTGCAGTTTGGGGGGCGGGGGCGCAATACCCATTCTTCCCCTCCCCCTAAAACTATGCCGATGATCAAACAGTTGCATTTCTCATTATTCAACTCTGTGTTCAACCGTCCTTAGAACACATTATTTGGTTCTATCTCTTTATTTATCTATTTCCAGCATGGGTATATTTCACTGACTTGTAGTAACATAAGCATACTTGACTGCAAATATTATCCTTACTTTGCTAACTTAATCACTAATTTAAAATATATCAGTATGAACACAGCCCCCTTCTTTTCTTAGCAGGATGCCCCTAAAGTAAACCCTGCCATTAATTGTACGTCTTGCATATAGCTTACTTCATAAAAATAGTTTATTCAGTTTTGTTCCTTATATTTATCCCAATACAGTATCTGACAATATCATATAGTGTCTTAATATTAAATGTATATTTCAATTCATTCATTCAAAGTATATTAGAGAAAGGAAAAAAAAACGGGAAGTTTCTTTTCAGCTACACCACAGGTGCGGTTAATAGGCTTCCAGACTTACCTGCATTAAGTTCCATTACATACGTGGGTGAAAGACTGCAAAAATTGTGCCATTGAGGTTTGAGTTTCTACTCTCTCAGGCCTTTGACTTTTCTCTCCTGAAAAAATCTAGATATCTGGGCAGTTCTCAGTTAGCAATAAATTATAATTTGGGAGGTTTAGTCAATATATAGGAATCTCAATGGAACTTGTTGAGTCTGAAATATTTGTAGAGATGTATGTGGACACTCAAAGTGTCCACTTCTATATGAATTTGTTTTGGAGGAGGAAAGAGGATTCCCCCCCAAAAGTCATATAATCTAGTGTATTAATCACAGGGCTAAAAATAATTAGTTTCTGAATTTTGTTCCCATCTCATGCATCTGAAGAAGTGTTTTTTTTTACCCACGAAAGCTTATGCCCAAATAAATCTGTTAGTCTTTAAGGTGCCACCGGACTCCTTGTTGTTTTTGTGAATATAGACTAACACGGCTAACTCCTGATACTTGTTCCCATCTCTGCTACTGACAAACCGTAATCATTCTTTGCATTTTTGTAGCACTTTGCATGCATTGTTAAATTATGCTGCGCAACTTTGCAAAGTAGGTAAATATGATTGCCCCCATTTTGCAGATTTCAAAACAAAGACTGAGTGAAATGAACTAAGGTCACACAGCAAGTCAGTGTTAGAATGAGACAAAATAGAATTCAGTGATCTTGACTCTCAAAGCCAATGTCCATTCCAATATATTAGAAAAGAAATGAAACTGCAAGGAAATCTATTTAATCTTTCTCAATTTAGGATTCCAGATCTTTAAAATTGGGAAAACAATATATTTTTTTTTGTCTGTGGCAGCAGGTATTTTAAATCTTGTGCAGTACATTTTCACCTGTGGTAAACACCATTGGCTCTCTATTATAGGTAGTGGATTTGTGGCAGTGGTAAGCTAATCTGTGAGAAGCAGAATACCTCTGCCAAACCATGCGTTGGATGTTAAAGAAGGGCACCCAAAACAAAACTTCTTCTGAAAATTTTGCCATAAACATTGTGTTTTGGGGGCATTGCAGTATAATGGATTGTGCATGGTCCCAGGATATGGTCCCAGAATATGAGAGAGACACTATATGTGAGGTAATACCTTTTATTGGACCAACTTCTGTTGGTGGAAGGGACAAGCTTTCAAGCTACAAAGAGATCTTCCTCAGGCCCGGAGAAGGCAACCAGAGTGAGCAAAATACAAGATGGGACAGATTGTTAATCATAAGGGGTTTACTCATGCTGTAGGATATGCTACATGCTTAACATGTCTTCTTTCTCGCCACTCCCCAACTTCCCCAAGCTTGGTACAGCCTACTAAGTTCACATATGGCGAGCACTCTCCTTAAAGCCTTAATTTAAATCTACATTTCTCATGAAATCTTCCTACACTGATGACCTTCCAGTAACTACTTCTACATTGGAACCATAGTAGAGTTTAAGCTTCAATGCTTTTATGCATTAAAATTTCCAAAATCAGACACTGGCACATACTGCTCACAACATATAGACTTATTGTGTCCTGGTGGCATTTGCTTTAGTTCTCTATTCTAAAGCAATCTTTATAATACTCTAGAAACTTAGGATACGTTGGTATGCCAAGAACAGCCTTTTATAGAGTACTTACCATTTGTGGGATAAAACTGCTTTTTGTACAAAAAAGTTAAGGTATTGTTCTCTTTGTATACAGCTCCTTATGAGGGTGTTTCATGCTGCTAGATACAATTTGTTACAAATGCTAGGGTCATTCACTGAAGGATTCTTCCAGACTGTTTTAGAAGTTTTCAATGAATCCCCACTGATGTAGAAATTCATCTGCAATAGAAATTGTTTTAAATGGAAAGGAGTTTGGGGAACAGGGCGGGGGGAAGGGAGGACTGATTATAAGGTTATTTTTCTGGAAATAAAAAAACTAATTCTTGGGCTAGTTGAAAAGGCAAATCACAGAGTACTGTGTAGTATTGTCTGAAGGTGTTTCTTCCTTTCATTTAAATAGGCTTTCAGCCTATTATTTTTACTAATTACAGAGTCTTCTTACTATTATTACAATCTCCATGAAAGGTCAGCTACAAAAAAAATTGCTACATTAAATCAGCATGAGTTGGCTTTGGTTACTTAAAATGAAAATGGGGCAAACTGTGGTTTAAATTGTTAAGCTGCAACAGTTAGTAAAGAAATCACAGTTCTTTCTGGTAAAAAGCAAATGCAATCAATTACACTTTTAATCTAAATAACAGATATGAATACACACCCTAGATGTGAAAGGTACCATCTGATATCAAAGGCACTCTTCATTATACAGTATATAAATTTATGCAAATATGCACATGTATCAGTATGTACACTCTGAAATATACACTCTACTTCATAAAAGAATATACTTCCTAAGTCATAGCTTTTGAACATTAGATAAAGCAATAATAAGGTTTAATTCATACACTGAAACTACAGCATGGTAAAATAGTGTTACAGCTGTGGTATAAATCTGTTGAAGCAAAGAGACAACACAGAAATTAGGCTAAATCACCTCAGTTACAATGTAGACAATTTTAGTGCTATTGTTTTGTATGTTTCTTTTTTTCTCTCAAACCAAAATGTAAGTTTTAGTGCTTGTGATTAGTGCTGGATTGGTAGCCTCTTGAATTTATACTGACAGGATGGACAGCAACAGTGCACGCTTTCCCACAGCATGATGACTATATCTCTCAACAAAGTTGACTTCAAATGCTATGGCGATGCAGGCCATTTAACTACCTAGACTGACAGATCTGGGGATAGAGCATCTTTTCCTCTCCATACTTATTCACTCACTTTGCTTTGCTAGGACTGCCAGGAATAGTGCTAATTAGTGCTGATAGTGATTTTTCTGATGTAGGTAAGTGTGTGTTAGGTTTGGATTGAAAACACCAACCTCACTTTAGCTACGTCACTAAGCAGCCATCAATAAAAATGATATATGTTTCTGAGGAAAAAAACATTATAACAATATTATAAATGGATTCGCCCCAATATCAACTGGTAATGTAACAGAACTATGTACCATAAACATGACTGTATTAGCTGTCTCTATCTGACACTACTATGTGTTTTGTACTTTACTTATCTTTGTCTATAAATATTTTTATTGGTATGTATTTCAGGCAGTGGAGTGGCAGTGTGATGAAGCTACTAAAAGAGCCTGTTACAGTAAGGGCAAATCAAAGGTAAGTACGTGATAGCTGTGCTGCTTAATCAAAACTTATATTTGGTTGACAAGATATCCAGTAGAGCCATGTACAGGACTAGTCAGTGTACAAACCTCTTCTCTATAAAGTTCTTGTTCTCCTTCTAAAAGTAATGCAAGATTCTTTAGGGTGGCAATACGGCATTTCCTGGAGTGTAGGCTGTGACGTTGTGCAGTCTGTATGGTTTTATAAAAACATGATAATAAGTGAATATAATGTAACTGGGATAGTTTTATAAAAATTTGACAATAAGTGACTATAATGCAAATGGGATATACTTTGTGCAAAAGGTCTCTTGTAAGGTATCATTACAAAGCTCATAATCTGCTGAGTATGATCATCTGATTTGTATAAATGTACCACTCTTGTATCTA